TCCTGTAATTGTTCACGAATAATCGTATCATACCAATAAGCATAAACTTCACGGTTATATCTTCCCAATATGCAAATTTTTCTGCTTAATTGTTCCAGTTCTTTAGCAACAGCAATTACTCCGTGCTGGGCCAAAGTTTCCTTTTTAGGAAATTGTCCCGTTTGAAGATGTTGTTTCATGATATTTTGAATCCGGCGGGATAAGAGGGAAAACACTTTGTCAGATTGCGAAAGTGTCTTGGAAACCATCGATTTAATTAATGTTTGAGTTTCAGATGAAAGAGTTGATGGGAAATATGATAAAATTTCGGCTGTTAAGTTATCAATTGTAGTATCTCCATCCATAAGAAGAACAAAGAGGGTATCCTTTAAGGTTGTAAGATCATCAGAAGCGCTATTAACGTTTCCACCTGCCACATTTTTAGTAAGCATTAACAAAGCAGCTACAATAGTGATGGCCTGCCCTTCATTCTGATAATTCCAGAGCCTTTCAATATCAAGCAAAAGAGTTTCAGGGCAGTTGTTTTTGTCAATTGTTGACGGTTGGAAAATAAAAGAGACAAATGATTCATTATACACTTGATCAAATTTAATACCATGATTATGTCGATGTTGTGGCAAATGAATATTTTCTGGATTGCGCTCTGCTCTGGTACGCAAAAGGGAATTAACAATTTGTTTAATCCATGATTTTGTCAAATCAAGTGTTAAACGTTTGGATTGTAAAGCCTGTTCAAATTTGCGGCGTTCATACTCAATGGCATGCTCCTTTAAGTAAGGCCTAAAAGCCTTGACACGAAAATTAGCGAGATCCAGTCTCATTTGATCTAAAATATTTAATAACTTTTGAAAGATTTCCGCAAAATCATTTAAATCCTTAAGTTTTTGAATTTCTTCATCACGAACAGGTGCGCATATTTGAAGCATTGTATTTATAATAAAAACAATACAGTTATGTATATTATAAACACCCGCTTTTGTTTGTTGAGTAATCAAATCAATGTCAAGAACTTCATTGATGGATGAACGTAAAGAAGAAGTAGGAGAAACAAGATCGAGAAGACGCTATATGATAATTGTATATTCATTTATATCATTAATATATTTAATAATCAACATCAATTGTTATATTATTATAAAAATTATTAAAGAACACACACCTGCTTAACGTCAGATAAAAGTTCGGGCACCCATCTCTCATACTGTCCTTGCTCAAGATCAGCTTTTACGGAATCAAAGAAAGCCTTAGTAGCGATAGCTCGCACACGTTCTTCTAATTCAGAAAGTTTTGGAGGCTTTAATTCGAAATCCGGATCGATTATGATCTCGTGAGCAAGTTGTTCATTTGTTAAACCTAAATTAACTTGGGATCCGCCTAGACTTTGGATAATATGGTGAAGATTAGCACTTGTCACTGATTGGCTGCGTGAGGCTGAAGATGTATTGGTTGAAGAGGTTGTAGATTGAAAATTTGGATTAGCCAACTGAACGGATCCGTCTGCCGCTAAGGTTTGGGGTACGAAAGACTGTCGCGG